CCCCCACCCCCAAAAAAAATGCAGGAAGACCAGCCAAGCAGACACCCGGATCTGCCAGAGGCACAGAATTCCTTTTATCAAAAGAATATTTTTTAAAAAGGGGGGATGGCTGTAATAATATAAACCAGTCAACATTTGAGATTTATTTTTTCGTTTGTTTGTTTCCTCGAGATTATTAAGGTTTGCATCGACACAATAGGAGAAATGGCTTCAATGTTGATAGGAGACCAACACAGAATGAGACTGATGGTGAGGTGGGGGAAGCAGATGGGTTTTTGGGGACAGTAACGGCCAATGTGAAATGTGACACAGAGCAGAGGAGATGAGGATGGCCCATTGGGGGCGGAGCTTAACGCCAGAAGGAAAGGCATGGAGCAGTGGGGGGTGGGGGTGGGGGTTCAATCTGTATTTGAGGAGGTCATTGTATGTTTGTTGATACTTATGCTCCACGGTAGCACGGCAGAGCTTGGAGGTGGTATCTGGAGTGTCTGCCATGAGTTTCTGCCAACAGGTACACAGCACAGAGCCTAATCTCTACCCCCAGCACTGAAGCGATTAGGCCCATTTTCGGCAAACCGTCCCCGTGGTCACATTTCATGGGTCTTTGGATACGTGTTCGCAGGTTGCATGCAGTTTGCATGCAGTGCTGCGGATGAGGTCTTTGTTGTGGTCTGCAGTAAGACTCCCACTGTATCAGTCATTAATGTTGCAATTGTTTAAATACTACAGATCAGACTGGGTAAAATCACATACAGGTGGCAATTGAATAATAGCCATTATATAAATATACCTAAATCTGTTCATCCTGACTTAGATATCCAGTTGCATTATGATTGTTATGAATGTGTTATGAATTTATACCAAACATAAGTCAACAGAAATACAAAACCAAAAAAAAGTAATTTCCCTTTACTTATCTTGAGTATATTTACTTTATTGTATTATTAGCACTGATCTCCTTGGGTGGAACATCATTCTATTACAGATCTCACAGAATACAAAGAGCATCCACTATACATACATGTTTTCAGCTGGAGTTCACATTACAGATTGTTATTTGGAGTATCAGCAGTGTGTATTTACACTATTATATTTCATTGGAGGCTACAGGACGGAGTAGCTTATCTTAAACACGTACAGAATGGCATCGTCACACCTAAAGTAGGACCACTTCCACATATTGACATGTACTGATGTCATTCGAGCTATTTATACACATATCTCCTCTGCGCTTTTCCATATAAATATAATTTTAGTCCGTTTCATTTTACAGTTGAATTCAGCAATCGGTTGATATAAATCTTCGCTGATAATGTCACCATGAGCAAATGCAAGGGACACAGTTTAAAAATTAAAAAAAAGACGTTCTCCTCCAGAAAACACATTCTCGTTCCATTCCATCGGATTAGGGTGGTGTGAGGATCCAGCACTATTTGAAAACAGTGTTGAGGTAAAACTCTCAGTTATATTTATACAATAAAAGGTCATACATAAAAAAGGTCATACACATCTGAACAAAGAAGGGAAGAACAAAGATTAAGCAGTTATGCGCAACACTGAAATACTTAAATTATTTTGAAACACCTGTTCATGCCAAACTGAGAATAGTTAAAGAAATCTAAGTCGAGACAAATTGGTCCATTAGATAGTCCCTCTGGAAGAGACCAACGTGGGAAAGACGTCACCGTTCGGCGATGGATCCCTGAGGCGTCCATAAATAAATGTGTCTCTTTTTGTCATTTTTTTGTCATTCTCGGCCAACGTTGATGTTCAGTTTCGATTTTAAAGCCATTGCAAAAAAAAAAAAAAAAGACCTCATTCATGTTAGAGTGTTTGGAGAGCATTTTTGTTTAAGAGATGCCATAGTTATTGTAGTAGGCGGCGGTGGCATCTGCCAACACGGAGATGAGGCTTGTTTCGGAAGCGCTGCTAGGGTGGGGCGTGGAGACCGGGGCAACCTGGATGTGCCCCGTGATGGTCATGCTGCCTGCTTCCGGGTGTCCGGTGGAGTTCAGATACTGGTCGAACTCGTTCCTGTCCACCTCCTCCAGGAGCTCCGCCTGGCTGAGTTGCTCCAACGTCTCCAGGTTGCCATGCTCCGGAGGGGGGGAAAGCTGGCCCAGGTGACTGTGGAGTCCATGCTGGATGGGAGGAAACGAGGAGCCGTAATAGGACAGGGGGGCACTGGATATCAGCGAGGTGCCGCTCGCCGGCATGGCCATGTGACTGGGGTGTGGTCCGCTGCAGTGAAGGGACCCGTGGCAGAAGTCGGGGTGGTACGGCAGCGCGCCGCTCATGTGGGGAGGACTGGGGCGGCGCTCGTCGGGGCAGGAGGCCGAGGAGCCGGGGGAGGAGTAGAAGGAGGAGTGCTCATGGTCCATGGCGTCCAGCGGGGACATCTCCGGGGGTGTCGGCAACCCGTAGGGGTAGGAGTCAAAACCGGAGCCGGAGCCGGCCGCCTCCCGGAAGGTGCGGATAGCGGGAAGACCGGGCGAGTAGCCGGGCTCCTCGTCCTTGTCCAGGGCGCGGCAGCGGGCACGGGCATCGGGCAGCACGTTCTGGTCGGGCCCCAGGCTGTTGAGCAGGAAGCCGGGGTCGACGCGCTTGCATATGCGCTTCAGCTGTTTCTTGCGGCGCGGCCGGTACTTGTAGTTGGGGTAATCCTGCATGTGCTGCACGCGCAGACGCTCAGCCTCCTCCACGTACGGCCGCTTCTGGGGGGGCGTCAGCGCCTTCCACGACTTACCTATGGCACGGGGATAGTCGCAGGGCAATCAGCTTACTACAGGGTTTACGTGTTTTTTTTCCTAACTGTTCTTTAAATACCAGGTATCAGCATGGTCAGTCATCATTTAGTTATTCTAAAAATGTGTAAATCTATTAAACTTTCCAGCTACAATATTTAATTACCGTTGGACAAACGGCTTGAGAAAATGGATGGATGATGGTATTCAAGGAACTCTTTGGTATCAAAGCATTTTATGTAAATTCCTGTATATAATACATTAAATATTCTTTACTGAGTGCAGTTTTTATTCTTAAGAGGTGCATCTTAAGCATAAATTTAGAATTAGAAGAATCTTTTTCATATAAACAAGTTCTTTATTTTGTTTTTGAACCTGATTTTTTTATAGCTAGAAGAATTTATGACAAAATATAACTAAAAAAATCTAGAGTATGTTTATTTTTACTCTTTTTTTAAACTGGCAGTTTACCAGTGACGGTCTGTTTTATTTTGTGTTCTAAACTAAACTGAAACAAAATGAAAGCGATAACTTACTATTGCACTACTCATTCCGCTTAAGTCTACTTAGATCTGCTTTTCACACTAACACAGATAAATTCCGTTGTACTTTTAAGGTAACCTATAACAAAGCAAGAATTACTAATCTGAATTTTAAAGATTTTCAAGGTTTAAAGTTGTCTTAAAAGTGCTAGAATTAAAGAGAATTGGGCCTCAATAAAAGTTAAATGAATATAAACATCATGCATAATGACTATGTTTAGCTACAATTTGATTATAAAAATTGTTGTAAACCAAAGCAGGTTGTCTCAAAATTTCTTGACCTTATGTGAAACACACAGATTTGTTGGAAATTTGGGACATGAATTTGTTTTCAAAGAAACAGTAGATAACCTTATTAAGAAACCTATTTCTTAAAATTAATCAAAGCTGAAATTTTTGTGATATAGGTAATAAAGTTAATTCCAAGCTATTTAAGCAAAGACCATCTATGTATATATCTTCTATAGAAAAATGAGTCCTTCTTATATAAGTTGTAGTACTGAATGATTCTTAATAATAATTTTCTTTTCATCCATATAAAAGACACCAACTATTTTTAATAACTAGTGAAACTTTCTGGCTTAAAAGTTGTGTTGACTATAGCCCACCACTTGCAAAAAAAAGAAAAGGAAAAAAATCTATACACTTGATAAAACTTTTTACAGTTATAATTATTGTCGTGAATGATGCTAAGTTTAACCAACAGCAAAATTCCAAACATGAACAATAAAGTTTACCCACCTAACATTTTGCTCAGCTCCGCGTTATGAAGGTCTGGATTCTGGACCGCCAGTCGCTTTCGTTCATCCTTCGCCCACACCATAAAGGCGTTCATGGGTCTCCTGATGCGGGGCTCCGAGCCCTTGTCGGCGGCGCCTCTGTGCGCGCAGTGTCCGTCGGGCAGCTCCGTATCTCGCGGGGAGCGCTCGAAGCTCTCCGGCCACGAAGAGTAGGTGCTTATCAAAGCTGCCATCTGCGCCTAAGGTGAAATCGACTTCTGAAACTTTGTTTTCTTGTTTTAAAATCGGTATAACAACTACTAACTACTTATTATCCGTTTAAATTCATTTGGGGAAAAACTATTTTTGCAAATTGGCTTCCATTAAGGGGTTTATAAAATGTTGAAGGTCTGCTGAGAAACTCTTGGATGGTAAGCTGACGGTGCGCCTCTGGACAGTGAGGAGCGCTGATCTGCAGCCCGCGTCCTCGTCGGCTGTGATTCACTTCTTCCTTGTATTAGGGGAAGCTCTTTATATTCGCCGAGCAGGTTCCTCTGGAGCCTCGCAGGACGTTGAGCTCCTCCTTGATTGCAACTTGAGACATCATACGATAAATTCAGAAAAAAGTGCCTGTATACTGATCAACTAATACTCCACTATGAAAATATAATCATAAATATTGTTCAGAATCTTCATTAACTATAGGAAAAGTAGGTCTATTTGAAGCTTTTTGCTTGTTCTACAGTAAAACTCTCAACAATGAAATTACAATAAATTAGTAGTTATAATTTAACGCTCGTTTATTACATTGTTATATCTATTTTGCTATTATTTGCAGCACAAGATTAAGTTATTAAGTGGTTATGCTTTTTTATTTATTCAGTAAGACCCAAATAATACAAATTGCAACTTAAAATAAAAAAAATGGATTTCCTTTTTCAGATTAAATATTTAAGACTATCAAGTAATCTGGATACCTCTAGTTAGTGAAGCCTTTTAATTGAGTACGCGAAAACCTTTAGCACTTTTAGCCCAGTCTGCAGATCTAATTTCGGAAGAGATTCATTTATTAATCAGTGTTTAAAGTTAAGGTGAAGCAGTATGACTGAGAAAATCATCTTATATTAATGGCGAAATTCATGAAACTGTGGGAAAGTTTTGCTAGCGACGGTGATTCGTGCTACTGGCCAAGGCGGGACACAGTTAGCGCGCGGCGCACCGGTACTCCTCTGATTATCTCCCATTGTGTCGAACCCCAGGCATTCAGATATGAGTATCTCATCAAAGCAGAATGATGTCATTACGATCGCAGATTATCGTAATGTATCAATAACAACCAATAATTAAAGTGAATTGAAGCTGTGTTGCGAAACCTGATATAATTTGCTCTCAGATATAAAACAGTATCAGGCCTAAATTATCCGCACGGGATGTCCTCGTGGAAAAGAACATGGGACATTGGATGTGTAAGATGGTGGCATTAATCAAACATTTTTTATATACTGATACTGTAAAATGCATAGTTCGAAATGTAATTTTAATTTGACATATATTTTAGATAAAGAGTATCAAGTGGATGTTATATTTACTTTCATTGCATCACAGCAGCCCAGTCTCGAAGCACAATGTGTAATGCCTACAATGCAGTAAAAAGTTACAGTAAAATCAGTTTTTCTTGGGCACAACCCAGCACAGCCACTGCTGCTGAAGGGTGACTTGGCAAACGTGCCACGGCAAATCTAACAAGAATGAGAGGAAAACCTTTAACAACTCAATGGAGGGGCCTGTCACTTCTCTATAGCGCACTTCATTTATCAAGGTTTCATCTGCCGGAGCGGAGTTTATGCCTTCAGAAAGGCTCCGCTACACTTCCTGTAGGCATTATATGTCTATTGTCACCTTGACTATTTATGAGTAGGCCTACATATCCATTGAAACAAATGCTATATTTATATCTGTGTATGTGATTCAATTGGGGGGGGGGGGGGTGTCTCTTTTTCTGATGTCATTCACCATAGCACAGAAAATATGAACTTCTGCTGGCCAATCTTTATAGTTCCTTCCATCAAACCCAGCTGGGAAAGGATCTTACCCAGTTTCCTATTGGTCTTTGAAGATGAATCTGTGGAACCAACACAGGTTGTTTCCTGCTTAGTCTATTGGAATATAAACTTCCTCCAAGCAAGGGAGGCAGAGTTCTGGAATAATATACTGTGCAGTCTCCTCTCAATGGCCTCCTTTCTCAGAGTGGTGAGATTCCTCAAACCGTGGCCCGCATTTCCTTTAGAATAGTGAGGTCACTATAAGACAGTCTGGTGAGATCTTCTAGTGTCCGGCCGTCTTGATGCACAGCAGTGAGAAAGTGCTGTCGTCATAAGAGCCATGTCAATTAAGCACAGTTAGCCACAATACGCAGGAAACCTTGTTATTTTCACCAGTTGGAGACATTCCTGAGCAACCTTCAGCAGTACACTGTCTAAGACTAGAACCTCAAGCAATGAAATCATTTTCCTCATTTTTCGTTTACTGCCAGATTTTTATTTCAACTGACCAAGTTTTTTTATAGGCATTTTTTCAAAAGATTTCTCACATAAAACAGGTGTAACTCTAAATAACGCTATCAGGCATTTTAACATGCACCACAATTGCACGCTGTGAAATTATGTAATACTATAGTATAAAGTCTGTAACAAATTCTAATAAGGTCAGTTAAGGTCAGGTAATGTCTCCGAGCACACAATGTCAAAACAATTCCACCTTAAGTATGTATCCACACACCAGTATTTGTCTTAGTATTTGAATTTGCTGCACCATGGTACCTTGTCAAACAAACAAGAACATCTTCATATTTTCTATTGCAAAATCAAATCTTTAGGAACAAAACTGCACTTGATGTGTCAGTGTCTGCAGTGATGAAATTCAGCTTCAGTCTAAAAATTTTAGCTGGCTACCTCACCAGTATACCATCATGATGTTTGCCAGTACACCCCTCATACAGTAATATTACCAATGGATTCTTAGCCTTGTGATACACAACTTGTCACCTCAATTTTGCATGGCTAGATCAGCTTAAAATCTAAGCTAACATACACCTCACTTAAAAAAAAAATCTTAAAAATGCACTTGTTGCATAAGATTTTCAGATACTGCAACTCATGCTTATAGCAAGCGATTGTATCGCTTTCGTTCCCTGCCAAGTTTGTCACCAAAAGAAATTATAGAGGCGTTTCTAGAGGCGTTACGTCTAAGCACCAACACTGAACAGGTTCCCCAGCATTGCAGGGGCAAGATGACTGAAAAATTACTCACTTTCAGATTAGTGAAAAACATTTCAGAGCACGCTAAACTGTGACTGCCGTTTCCAAGGAAATAAAAGCCGATTCACACAATGTCAGGGTTTGCTTTCTGAGACCAGAGAAACTTTATAGGGAGCCGTATACGTTCCGTATAGATCATTTTCACTTTTTTTAAATATCATTACATCAAAAATGAATGAAAGATGTATGGAAATGCAACTTTTTATCCTAAATGTTGTGGCATATATCGAATAATATCCAGTAATATATATTTAAATTTTATTGTTCCCAGAATTAAATCTAATCTAATCTATATTCACAATGATAGTTTTGGAATGTTACAGGAAGTGTTCAGTGTGTAGTTAGAAGATCTTAGATTCTTGCACAACGCGAGATTGAAGCCACTGTGTAGAAGTAAAACTGATCTAGAACGTTTTTCTATTTTTTTATTGAAAGACCAGCAGCAAAAAAAATGCCATTTCATGTTCCTTTAAAAAACCATCTATGTAATATTTTCAAGTAATCACTGTCAAAATGGGTTTGAGTTCCAACATTATGCAGGATCCCATCAGCACTGATCTTACACATCAAAGCGTGAGTCCTTATCTAATTCATCAGCAAATGAGAACCCTGTTGCTTAAATGGGGATCATGTCCTTACAAACAGGGTCTGAACCGCACCAATACCACCTTCCAGTCAGCACTTAATGTTCCTGGTTTTTTTTCTTCTTGGATTTTTTCACTTCAGTTACTTGAAGAACCTGTTCCTTCGCCATCCTCCTCTTCCTTTTCTCGATGCTTCTTGCGTCGTCTGTCCCATTCTGTGCCTCAGAGAGTACGGTTTCCACATCTCTCTCCTCCACAGTCTGCCCCAGCTTCCTCTTCTTGCTCTTCCTACAGCGGTATGTCTCTGCACCGTCCTGATCCCGGACCTCCTGCTGTCCTAGTCCGCCGGTGGTTGTGCAGTCTTCCGTTATCACTTCCTCGCCATCCTCTCTATCTGCACGTCTTCGCTGCTTCTTCTTTTTCTTCCTGCCCTGGTTCCCACACTCCTCTGTTTCATGGCTTTCTGTTTCCTTCTCTCCTCTGTCCTTTTTTTTCTTTTTCGAGCTGGGCTTCCTCCCCTTGGGAGGGTCCAGGGAGCCTTCAGGGGGTCCGTCTGCAGCCTTGGGGGTCGGCGTTTCCCGGCGGCCTTCTTTCAGACCAGCCATCCTCTGAGCAAAGTACTCCTGCATGGTGAGAGAGCTGGTCACTGTGTTGATGGTGTTATTCACTTCCGGGTCAGAGGTCACAGCCTCTTCATCCGCAGGAACATCTTCCTGATGATCGTTTTGCTTTAAAATTGAAAAACAAAACAAAGAATAATACTTTAACAGGGTGACAAATATCAATGCACATTTAAGTAGTTAATACACTGTTTCAGAGCCTTATGAGGCACACTGTAAAACAAATCCAGTTCAAACTCAGTGTAATTTATGCATAGTAGCCCCTGTTCAACGTTTTAAAGTGAAATAAATGTTTAAACTGATACTATAAAATGTTGCATAATTTCAGAGCTGGTGGATTTTAGTTGCATTACACTAAAAACAGACAAAAGACAAAAAGTCTGGAACTTAAGTTCCAAATAGTTTTTAATTTTTATAATAATATATTATTATAGTCTTATTATGATATTAGTTCTTACATGAGTGTTAACCTAGACAGTACCAGTAGTATGAACATAAAAATCCCTTAAATCCCTTGGACAGCCCCATACAACATACCTAACACAAGTCATATTTCATACGTGACGACACCAAACCGACGGTAGTTCTGGGCTTCAGCTTCCTTAACAGGAAAGCTGTGACCTAGACCTCGCGCCAAACCCAGAAACTGAAGGCGATATGATTCACAAACAATCACTACTTGTGGTAATTAGCCTTGTTTGCGGTCAGTTCAGTTCTGGCGGAACTGACAGCTTATGTGATGAGCTGCTCTCATCTGTTATACTTGGCTACTTAGATTATGTGTTTATATCAGACACGTACAAATTAGTGCAAAAAATCATAGTCTCTTAGTTACTGTGTCATCCCACTTCAAATCTGCACAAATCAGTGTGTATTTGAACACTACTGGGTATATTTGAATTTCACTAATATTAGAATTAGGCGATCAGTGGTCATTGTTAACACACCACAGCGCACAGTGCGCAACAACGAAATGTGTCCTCTGCATTTAACCCATATGTGACTTTCGTGACATAGCAGGGGGCAGCTAATTCAGCGCCTGGGGAGCAGTGCTTGGGGGTGGTACCTTGCTCAAGGTACCTCAGTGGTGTCTTGCTGGTCGGGGATTCAAACCAGCAATCTTTCAATTACAAGTGCGCTTCACTAACCATCAAGCCACCACTGCCCACTAAATAAACAAACAAACAGGGGAGAGCGCAAACGCAGTCCTCCATTACCAGAGATTATGCAGTGGAGATTCCCACATTTGGGGAATTCGCAGGGGTCAGCACAGCCGCAGTGCAATGGCTGGGCCTCACCCTGGGTGAACCACCTTTGTGATCATGGTATCTCACATACATCTATACATACATACACACACACATGCATACAGCAAACAAGGCTAATTACCACAAGTAGTAATTCTCTGTGAATCATATCACATTCATATACACACATATACATATATATTCACACATACACACACACACATATACATATATATTCACACATACACACACACACACACACATACATACATATATATACACATATAATATATATACACATATAATATAATGTAGTGTGTGTGTGTGTGTGTGTGTGTGTGTGTATAGGAATCAGTTTTTTTTTGTTTTTTTTTTAAATGGCTTCAAATGATTATGTTCAAACAAGACTGAAACCAGGCAATTAGGATGATGTCGGTGTTTCATATCGGATTAAATGTTTCCATGACATACTAGAAAAACCAGTGCAGACAGTGCTGGAAGAGGTTTTAAAGCAAACAGCAAAGAGAACCAGTATTTTTTTTTTTTTTTTTTTTAAAGTGTTAATGTCGCTCTATAATCATAAAACAGATCAAAGGAATTATAAAAGTTTTAGCTACTGGTTCTCACCGAGATGACCCAAAGCTCATATGTGGTTTAGAAGGTACTCCATTTATCTTTCTCACAAAGAAACGAATAAACAATTGTTTTTTTTACATGACAGACGAGTGAATGATGAGCCTTCGAGGAATGAATCCATTGCGAAATCGCTGTCTTGCGCACGTGGTTGGCACCTCCAGTACCCATGTGGTGCAGATGTATGCAGTGTGTTTGAACATCTGAGGATCACTAATCCTTCAAGGTTTACAGTGATTTCTTTTTAATCTGTACTCAGTGTTCTAATGCAAGACCAGACCTACACATACAACACCCACTAATGGTTCTCAGGGGGCACCCATTCCCCACGTCCATCCAAGGTTCTTCACTGCTTGATGTTGACTTCAAGGTACATTTGGGAATTAAAAAAAATGTAAATATGCTTACGACACCAAAATGACACATACCAACCAAAACAAGCAAGCAAACAATTAAAGACTTGCCTGCAGAGCCCCGAAGATCTGGCTCTCAGAAGGCAATTCACATGAACGAGGCTTTTAAATGTCTCACATCAGATTTCACCTCCGTGCGTCAGAGTAACAGGGGCACCAAGACAACCAAACGCCAACAACGCCAGCGGCTCAAAATCCACGCTGCTGACAAGAGCATTTCTTTACCGTTACATATTCTTAATAAATATTCAAACAGTTTTGAAAATTAAAACATGCACTAATTAGTTATATTAGGTAGTTAAAAAGCAAAAGAGAAAGGACCCAGCTTTGTCCACAGTTATTACACAGCAAGGCCTTACAGCCGGAGGGTTGTGACCACTGAGGTAAGACAACGCAAAGAGGATTTATCGTTCATTTGATGGCTAGAAACCACTTCGGAGAAGCATCCAAAATTGCTCTCTGGAGAGGGATGGGAAAATCCAGAGAGAAATGGCAATTTTGTGCACAGTTCCAAGCGGGCGGCCTGAGGGGGTCTATTAGGTTTATCTGTAATACGGCAGAACCTGCTGTCAGGACTGCCCCCCCCGACGATTCATCCTACTACAAGCACTTAAGCTACAGTTCACACTCACGCTGACGCCCAATCCCCCCCCAAATGACTCTGAATTCTTTTATGTAATGCAAATTAAGTTTCCACTTTCAAAACAAGATAAAGTAATGAGTCAAAATGGACATACAGTGCAGTGGCTTCAGTGGATTGCAGCTAACTCAAAGCGTAAAATTACGTCAAAGCCAGTGACGGTGCAGTGGCTTCAGTGGATTGCAGCTAACACAAAGCGTAAAATTACGTCAAAGCCAGTGACGGTGCAGTGGCTTCAGTGGATTGCAGCTAACTCAAAGCGTAAAATTACGTCAAAGCCAGTGACGGTGCAGTGGCTTCAGTGGATTGCAGCTAACTCAAAGCGTAAAATTACGTCAAAGCCAGTGACGGTGCAGTGGCTTCAGTGGATTGCAGCTAACACAAAGCGTAAAATTACATCAAAGCCAGGGTTAAATGAAGCTATTATGCAAAAATACTGACAGATTCCAAATAAGCATTCCTGTCATATAGAGTATCAATCAATTGTTGCCACAGTGAAATAAGATTTGATTGCATTGGGGACATTTTTGAAACTAAAAAAAAAAAAAAATTAGTCTTCAGTGAGGTTATTTTTTAATCCAGCTGAAACTAAAAAAATAAAGGCCAAAATCCATACGATCGATACTGCAAAACAGGAAGTGCTCTCTATTCTCAGAAAGATAAAGCACTAAGTAGAACTCCCCAGGTGAGATTGTTTGTTTTTTTTAAACCACCCCCCCCACCCCAAACACACACTGTTTAAATCTCACGAGTGTGTCCCACAGCTCCTGACAGACCCCACCCCTGTCCCACACTACATGGGACACAGCAACAGAGCCGGGGGGGGGGGGGGGGAGACAGTTAGCAGCCAGGGTGCAGCTCAGAGCGTGCATGCAGTGGTTGCTCTGTATTAGTGGAGGGAGTTGAGGTGCCGCTTACTGTAAACCCTGTTCCCCCCCCCCCCCCGGACACCTCGCTCCAGGAAGGGGATACGGTCCCGCCACCGTGTGCGGGTGCGAGATAAGGCGGCTTTGGGGGGAGCGACGCTGGGCTATCAGCTCTTCCTGCTCCCCTCTCCTGGCAGAAGTCGGGGCCGAGGGGCCGTGCAGCCGGATCTGGGGGGGGGACTCCAAGAAAACATGAGGGGGCCTAAAGAACGGGAGCCTCCCTCGGCGACGTGCCGCTGCTGGGGGGGCACGGAGCCTGACACCCAGCTCTGGACGATGAAACATCATAGCATGAAAAATGTTGGGACAGTCCGACTTATTTAAATATTTTATCCCTCTGGCATTTGTAGTCATGCGTGCATAATGGCGCCAAGGCAGTCTTCCACATTAAATTTAAAAAACAACAGGGCAACCGCTCTGAAATAAGCATTCCTCTTACGCTGCTCTGTGAGAGCCTTACTATTAGGTCTGTAACGTCTTTTCATTTGAATATTCTAGCTCAATTGTGGTGGTGTTAGATTGACAAAATTTTAATTTTACACGAAATAATTAAAACGCTCAATGTTTAAATACCCTTTTGTTGATTTGATGTGAACAAACCCTTAAAGCGTAGCTAAACTGAGCCATTCAAATGGACGTTGATGGGTGAGATTAACGAACATAGAGTACCCTATGCAGTCTAGCTACTGTCACTATGTCATCCTGGACGACCATAAATATTATATCTCCATTACTGTGCAAAACCACAAACA